CGATTTTGAATATTAGACTTCTAATACTCAATATAATAGGTCTGATGCTCATTAAAAGTTCATTAATGCTCATTCAACAGAAACCGTGAATTTCATCTCAATAACGAAGGTTTGATGCTCAATTAAAATGTTGTGATGTTCAACTAACAAAACAACTAAAAAAATTTATTAATACTCATTTTGTATGTTACGTATGCTCATCAGGTACTGATGTTATGCTCATTTTGTAAATGTCATATCAATGCATTTTTAAAGTACTATTCTAAATTACATTTACATAATGGAATTCATTGGAGTTGATTATAAAGATAATGTAATAAGTTTTTATAAAAGAAAAAAAAAAGTGAATTAGAAGTTATGAAGCAGAGATCATGATTCTGAATATTCGACTCCTAATTCTCAATATAAAAGGTTTGATGCTCATTAAAAGTTCATTATTACTCATTTGTTACTAATGTAATGCTCATTTTTACAATTCATATCAATGCATATTTCAAAAGTATCAATAGTGGAGGTTGAAAAATCAATTAAAATGTCATGATGTTCAACTAACAAATGTTACGATTTTCATATCAATGTGCACTTTGTAAGTTATGTATGTTCATTTGGTACTCATGTTATGCTCATTTTTACAATGTCATATAAATATAATTTTCCTTTTATAAAAACTTATTAAATTATATTTCTAATCAACTCCTATGAATTTCAATATGTGAACCTAATGTAAAATAGTACTTTAAAGAAAATATATGTTGATATGACATTTAGAAAATAAGCATAAGATCAATACCAGATAAGCATGCACATCTTACAAAATGTTCCTAGATATGAAAATCGCAAAGTTTGTTACTTTGAATAACAACATATTCATTGAGCATCAAATATCATATATTGAGATGAAAATCACTGTTTCTGTTAAATGAGCATTATTAAACTTTTAATGTGCATCAGACCTATTATGAGCATTAAAACAATTTTGATGAGCATCACGCTTATTAGGAACCTAACACTATATAAAAAAAATTATAAATATATTTATATAAATTAATACTATCATTCATAGATCAAATAAATACTTCAAAAATATGAATTACTCTTTTAATGAAGTAATAATGAGAAAAGGCAAAAGAATAGTTAATATTATAATTACTATTAATAATACGCAGTATGAATATATATAGGATAAGTAAGATAAAAGAACTAAATATTACAACAAGATGACTTGGTGAGATGGTTGGAAGATAGCATATGCTATTATTCGGCCGGATGTACGTACATCCGGGTGTACGATATAGGGACTCGTGTATGTGTGTATCTATGTACGCACGCATATTAACGTATATGCACAAATGATCGTATCGTCACATTTAATAATACGGAGTATAATATAATTAATCACATAACTTCATTTGTAGTAAATATTAAATAATTATAATAATAATAAAATTTAAGAAAGTATACATACATATAACGTGTTTGTCATAAACTACAAGTAGCTTTCTTCATATCTACGGCTAAAGTTAAATGTACACATGCATATCTTTAGAAAAATAAAATAATACTACGCATTCCGATCCGTATAAATAAAAAAAGTAAAATAATGTTCGGTCCAAACGCCCTAAGCGACCGATTAGGTGCGCCGGGCGAACAATTAGGCGCCCTAGTGGCAGACTAATTCACCTAGGTGTCAATTCAATTATTCGAGACGCCTATAATAAAATTGAGATGTCTGGCCATCGTTTAGCGCATAAGCTAGACTAGTTAGACGCCTAGAGTAGTTTTTACCACAGTGAATTTAGTCCTACTTGAAGCAATTCTTTAAAAATTAATTTTCCTAAATAGGAGTACAAACGTTTGTGAATTTCAATATACGACTGACATGTTTTTATTTCTTAAATATGAGGGAATAGTGTCGCGTTTTGATATAAATTATCTCACTTTAAATATGATAGTGTATTTTGGGAAAAGTATGGAAAAGATACTTGCGGTTTGGCCCATTTTCAGTTATGAGCATGTGTTTCTTTTTTAACAAATTAAAGTACGACATGTGTTTCAATTCCGTTATCACAGAAGAGGCATGACGTTTAACGCTGTTAAAAATTGTCAGATGAAGACAATGAACAGTAATTCCGGTTTTCAAAAGTGACCGAAAATTTAAAAGAAAAATATTGGGAGGTGCGCCTCGTCAAGGAGACCTCCAACCCATCTTTATCTTTAATTTGAATTTTTCGGCTCTGTTTGACTTATTATTAAAAAACAAATTCGCTAATATCACTTTTTCGGTGGACTTTCTGGCGAGAAGGGTGGCTGGAAACAAGAAAGAAAGATGGTCTGGACTAGGTGTCCTTAGTGAGGCACACTGCGCACCTCCTAGTATTTCTCTTTTAATTTTTCAGACACCTTTAAAAATAAAGTTACTATTAAACGTCTTTCTCTGGCGATTTCTAACGGCGTTAACCACCATGCCCCTCCTGTGATAACAAAATTGAAACACATGTTCGACTTTGTTAAAAAATGAAACATGCGTCACTATTTAAAAACGAACCAAATTACAGGTACCTTTTCCGCACTTTTCTCTAATATTTTCAAACTTTACAATAATTATTCTTATTTAAAGAATAAAGATATGACAATTTAATTTGGGAGTTTCAAACGTTTTTAATCGGAATTTTCTATTCTTCATCGAGAATTTTCTACTTTTTGAAAAGAAGAATTTTCTATTCTTTAAAATGTCTATGAAGAATAGTCAAAAAATTGCGCACTTTCACGTTCAAACTGCCCTTTTGCACTTAACTTCTAGGCGAGGCACTTAACTGGTCTTTCACATGATCACACATCTAGGCAGCGCCTTTTGGTGAGATATAGAATAATTCAAAGTTAGTAGTCTTTTATTGCTATAGACTATAAAGCTAGAGTTATAAAAAATGTTACGTTGATGGAAGACAACCTTGATTATTGAGTAAATGATCAGTTTAGTACTTGAAGTTGTATAAAAAGAGTCAAATAAGTCATTACTACCCGGTCGTCGCCATTTGGGGCGGTTCCCGATGGAATTTTTTGATGAATTTCTTTGAGCATCTTATTCATTGAGTCTAGTTTACTCATACTAAATTTCAACTAAAACTTCAATCGGGAAGCCATTCAAATGAATTCTTGAAGATAACTTCGCTTTTAACTGCGCAGTTATCTTCAAGAATTCATTTGAATGTCTTCCTTATTGAAGTTTTAGCTCAAATTTGGTATGGGGAAACTAGACTTAATGAATAAGATGCTCAAAAAAAGTCATCAAAAAATTCCACCGGGAACTACCCCAAATGGCGACGGCCGATCAGAGCCTCCTATATAAGGATTTATTTGACTCTTTTTATGCAACTTCGAGTACCAAATTGACCCTTTACTCCTTGATTCTTTATTCAGAATCACATTGTACTTGATACGAATTTAGAAATGTGTGATGCTAAGATCCTCTTATCTAGCTAGCTAGCTAGTCTAGTCTAGTAATTAGTATATATGGAAGTATTTTTCAAAGTTGGATGCATGCAATGGTCTAAAAGCATCTTATTTAATTTATTGGGTAATTTTGCTCAAAAGAGTACTCGTAATATTTTCAAGATTCATGTAGCAACTTTTTGGTTAATTAGGCATTTAGGCAAACGCATTATTCTCCGTTTTCACATGCTTCATCACCTTCGTCGTTGGTAGATCTTGCACATAAAAATCGTGATAAAGCCTATTGCATGTTCATTTAATAAGGGAGGCATTGGAGTAATCTCGGAATGCTTAAGTTATTCAACTTTATAATTAGTTTTAGAAATGAGATAACTATCTTAAAAGGACTTGATGAGATAATTCATAATATATTTAGAATTAAAAGTAGTAAAATAAATTAAAAAATATCCCAAAATCACATTTTAGAATTGTTTCATGTTGTGCTTACTCAGCTTTTATACAATTACGGTGCAATATTTATCTTTTGAATAAGACTAGAATTAGAAGATAGTAAGAAGTTTTCACATGATGGAAAAACAAGAAATCATGTGAGAGCATAAGGAAGAAGCTTAAAGATAAAAGAAAGGTTCATGGGAGACAGAAAAGAAGAAAAACAAATTGTATGACATCCGGTCGGGTATATCCAATAATTAATACCCGGTCGAGTATGATTGGACGTGAAGATCGTAGAAGATCAAACAAAGCAAAATGAACATGGAGAAATCAGATTTGGTCATATACCCGATCGGGTATGACTAGATTTAAGCACTTTTGTAGCTACTGCTAAAGATACACACTCGGGTATCCTAGATTCGCGGTCGGGTATGGAACCCAAACACATCATTTCTCCTATAAAACACCCATTTCCTTCCCATTTTAGAGACACATCAATCCCTAAGTAGTCTTTTGAGCTTGACTTTGCTATATTGAAGCTTGTGAGTTATTTCATTAATCATACTCTATTGAATATTAATTTCTTCCTTATTCATATTCCATATTGACATCTGAGCATCACTAAGTGATTAATTAGTTGATGTTTTCATAATAGTTATTACTAGAATCGGTCAATAAATACGCTTGTTATACACTAAGTATGTAGTAGCCTTAGCTTTTTATGCAGATAAAAATATTCTAAAAATGAGTAATTATATTGGTTGGACCGAAAAAACGCTTTCTTTGAGGTTATCAATCTTCTCATAGTCACAGTCGAGAATACTCACCTCGAGTTCCAAGTTATCGTTCTTAATTGATACCATTAAATCGAACGAACGCTACTATTTAGATCAATATATGAATTGTGTTATATACTGACTAATACTAAGGATTATTATTATTATTATTATTATTATTATTATTATTATTATTATTATTATTATTATTATTATTATTATTAATTGTATTATTATTATTATTATTTTTATTATTATTATTATTATTATTATTATTATTATTATTATTATTATTATTATTATTATTATTATTATTATTATTTTTATTATTATTTACTCCAGGGGGCATCTGGGTGAGGGGGGCTAGAGTAATCAAGGCTGAAACTCACTCTATTGAGTTTGAACCCAAGACCTCCCGTAAGGGAGAGTGAGTCGGCTTCCAGCTGGGCTAGACCTCTTCCTCAAAATAAATGTAAGGGGAATTGATAGGCCCAATTTTATTATTCAATTTTAATATTTTATCTTGTTATTTTGGGCCTATTTTAATTCATTTTTGGGAATTAATGACTAATTTGGACTTCACTTATTTCTTTATTAGGAAAGGGAGAATTTGGAAAGAATTTTAACTCTTGGGGCCAAATTGCAAGAAATGGATACTTGAAGCTAAAAACATTCCAATCAGCACCTTAGCCATATTGAAGTGCCGTATACCTCTCTTAAGAAGGCATTAGTTTTCAATTTCCAAGTCTTGAACATCATGCGTGAGTATCTCCTCGGCCCCGCAGCGAAATCCCAGCCTTAGTCAAAATTAATGGGTGTAGTCGTTGGAGATTAACTTGCCAATTTTGAAGAGCCGAGAATCTGCCACTCCGTCCTATAAAACGCAGCAGCGCAGCAGCAGATAAGGGAGGAGGAACGGAGGTGAAAACTGGAGAGAAAGACAGAGGAACTCAGCCGCTCCTTCATCGATCATCTTCGGTTTTTCATTCTCTATTAATTAGTTAGTTTAATTTCAGATTTCCTAGTTCTTGTATTTCAATTTCAGAACTTTTACTTTCATGTTTATGCTATTGAAAGGTGATTTCTTCCATACCTTAGGTATGATATTTGGCTAGATTTTTACCCGAGGGATTTGGGATTAAAGCTTGGTAATAAGTGATTATCTCTTGTGTTTGGTTCTTCCATTGTAATCGACAGATTATTTTTCCAATTAAATTTATTTTATGAATTTCATTGATGAATTTTGCATTGAGCTCATGCTTAATTCTTATTGTTAGGTATCGTGTGATGCACCGACGGGTGAGGCATGATATTTGAGCCCGTAAAATAAACATGATTCACCTATACTAGACATAGTTGGGGAATTGTGGTGACTTTCAATTGTCGCTTTTTGGCTAGTTAAGTTTAGTGTTCAATCGACGGATTAACACTAGCTTAACCGGTACGCGCTAATATCTCGACGGAGAATTAGCATATTTTAGAACCAATTGTCACTTTAATTGCTTGAACCGACACTGAGATTTTCTATTAATATCAAGTGTATAACCCGAATCCCGAGGGCCGTTTTATCTATTGTCTACTTGATTAATTCTTAATTCTGGTTTTACTCCTCGCTCTTATCTTATCAAAATCAAATCAAAATCAGTTTTTACTTTGTTGATAGAAACTTAAACCATTATAGTTCAATTTGTGCTCCTCGTGGGATCGACCCTGGAATACTCTGGGTTTTACTACGACCGATCTGTACACTTGCAGAAAAAAGCGGTCAAGTTTTGGCGCCGTTGCCGGGGAGCGCTTAAATTGTTTCTTTTTGGTTGTGTTTCTGTTAACTACTTTTTTTTTCTTTCATTTTTTCTGTTTTATTATCACTGCATTATGCTTCACAATTCATTCAGTAAGTGCAGGTTTGTATGCGATTAAGGGGATCCAGAACCCAGCCTAACGCAGATTTGGAACCCTTAGATCTTGAAATTGAACGCACTTTTAGACAAAGAAGAGCAAGAAGAAGGTTAGTTATGGCGAACGATAACAATAATAGGCAAGTTGTTGTCCCGCCACCTCCACGTTTGAGGGATATCCAACGTCCGGTAATAGCCGCCAACCCTTCTTGTATTTTACTTTCTGATGCCGCAAGAAACTATGAGCTCAAAAATATACATCTTAATATGCTTCCCTCCTTTAATGGTTTGGGAACTGAGGATGCATTAGGATTCATGCGTGAGCTTTATAGTACGGTACAAACTTTTCCTTTAAATAATTTATCCGAAGATGAGCTTCGCATGAGATGTTTTCCTTATTGCATGAAAAGTGAGGCTAGACAGTGGTTGTTAAATTTGCCAGAACGCTCTCTAACCAATTGGGAGCAAGTTTATGATGCTTTCATGTTCAAATTCTATTCTAACCAGAAAACAATGGATTATAGGAGTAGAATTTGCAATTTTGTTCAAGGGGAAAGGGAATTATTTCATGAAGCATGGGAAAGGTTTAATTTATTTTTGAACCAGTGCCCCCACCATCAGTTTTCTGTGTTACTTTTAACTCAATTTTTCTATGATGGTCTTACTCCGAATTGCCAAACTCTTGTAGATACTGCTTGTGGTGGTTATACAGGAGATAAAAATGCTAATGAGTTATGGGACATTTACAAGAATTTGGCTACTAATTCTCAACAGAAGGCTGTGAGAGGTCGCAGGGCGGTTGTGCACGAAGTGAACGCCCAACCTGATTTGGCCACACAATTGGCTGAGCTAAATAATCAAATGAAGTTGTTGATGACTCGTGAGAGTCCAAGCAGCGAGGTATGTGCCTTTTGTGGTTCAATTGGACACAATGCTAACTTATGTATTCATGCAGGTATGAATCAACAACCTGGTGAAGAGGTGAACTATATGGGAGCCTATGGAAATAAGCAAAATCAGCCGCAAAAGAACGACCCCTTCTCAAACACATATAATCCAGGTTGGCGGAGTCACCCTAACTTCTCATGGAAGGATCCGGGCAATGCTAGGCCAGTGGGACCTCCTGGGTTCCAGCAAGCACAAGTTACCCCATTTCAGCAACAAGTAATGCCTCCGTACCAGTTCCAAATGCCAGAAAAGAACCCACAATTTGAAGAATTAGTCGTGCAGTACATGGCGAATCAAGATGCAACCATGAAAAAAATGGATGCTAAAATTGACAAGGTGGTGCAATCTAACCAAGCTTCGATTCATACTCTCGAAGTGCAAGTTGGGCAATTAGCTAGAATGGTAACGGAGAAGGACAAAGGCAAGCTTCCAGCAAGCACTGATGTTAATCCAAGGGACGCAATGGCAGTCACATTAAGAAGCGGAAAAAAACTGCCTAACACTATTCAAGAGAGAAGTCTGGACAAGGACATTGCTGTCCAAAGGCAAGTTGCTGCACAAGAGGTAACCAGAGATCAAGTTGACCAGCCAAACACCAAGAATAATGTGGTTCAACCAGCTGAAACTGAGGCAGAAAAGCCATATGTTCCTCCAGAGCCGTATGTACCTCCTATTCCTTATCCACAGAGGCTGCGTAAGAGGAACCAAGATAATAATTTTCAGAGGTTCTTAGAGATCTTTAAGAAGTTGCAAGTCAATATTCCATTTGCTGAAGCACTTGCTAGGATGCCATCATATGCCAAGTATATCAAAGAGTTGGTGTCAAACAAGAAGAAACTCGAGGAGTTTGTGACTGTCCAGTTAAGTGAAGAGTGCAGTGCCATACTACAGAGCAAACTGCCACCAAAGTTAAAAGATCCAGGGAGTTTTTCTATACCCTGCACTATTGGTAATTTTGTTATTGATAAATGCTTATGTGATTTAGGTGCTAGTATCAATTTGATGCCTTTAACTGTTTGCAAAACACTTGGAATTGTTGATATAAAGCCCACTACTGTTTCTTTACAACTGGCTGATAGGTCGGTTAAGTATCCGCTTGGTGTTGTTGAAGATGTCCTAGTTAAAGTGGGTAAATTTTATTTTCCCGCAGATTTTCTCGTGCTTGATATAGGAATTGATTCTGATACTTCTCTTATTTTGGGCAGACCTTTTTTATTAACTGGCGGGGTTTTGATTGATATGCCTCAAGGAAAATTAATTTTTCGGGTTGGGGTTGAAAAAGAGGAGTTTACTATTGCTAAGGCTGTTAATTTTCCTGCTTTTGATGATTCTTGTTATGCTTTAGACTCAGTTGATTCTCTTGTTTCTGAAACTTTTGCTAAGCATTCATTTTGTGAACCTCTTGAAGCATGTATTGCTCTTAATTTGAATGAAAAAGAGGAAGATTCTGTTTTTTCTGATTGTGTGATGAGTTTAGAGGGTCGAGGTTCATTAACCAGTAACTTTGGAAAGAAATATGAGGATTTAGGTAGAAGCACCCCTCCCCTTCCTCCCTCACATGAATCACCTCCACAACTTGAGCTTAAACCTCTTCCTTCAAATCTGAAATATGCATTTCTTGGAAATAATAATACTTTTCCAGTGATTGTTTATGCTTATTTGAAGCCTGAAGAAGAGGAAATGTTGTTATCTCTTTTGAAGAAGTACAGGGCAGCTTTAGGATGGTCTATTGCTGATGTTAAAGGTATATCTCCCTCGATTTGCATGCATAAAATCTTATTAACAGATGATCATACTCCTTGTGTGCAAGCCCAAAGACGTCTTAACCCTAATATGAAAGAAGTTGTGCGGGCAGAAATTCATAAGTTGCTGGATTCAGGTATTATCTATCCTATCTCAGATAGCTCGTGGGTTAGCCCAGTTCAGGTTGTTCCGAAAAAGGGGGGTATTACAGTTGTTAGTAATGATAAAAATGAATTAATACCTACCAGGACTGTGACTGGGTGGAGGGTTTGTATAGACTATAGAAAGCTTAATGCTGCGACCCGAAAAGATCACTTCCCGCTACCTTTCATTGATCAGATGTTAGAACGCCTAGCTGGTTATGCATATTACTGTTTTCTTGATGGTTTTTCGGGTTATTTTCAAATTCCTATTGCTCCAGAAGATCAGGAAAAAACCACATTTACATGCCCGTTTGGTACGTTCGCTTTTAGAAGAATGTCTTTTGGCCTTTGTAATGCACCTGCTACTTTTCAGAGATGTGTGATGTCTATATTTTCTGATATGGTTGGTGACATTATTGAAGTTTTCATGGACGATTTTTCTGTGTTTGGCATGTCTTTTGATTGTTGTTTAACTAATCTGGAACGTGTTTTAGCGAGATGCGTGGAAACTGATCTTGTACTTAATTGGGAAAAATGTCATTTTATGGTCACTCAAGGTATTGTTCTAGGACATAAAGTTTCTGCTCAGGGAATTGAAGTTGATAGGGCTAAGGTTGAGGTTATTGAAAAGTTACCTCCTCCTACGTCCGTAAAAGCTGTTAGAAGTTTTTTAGGACACGCTGGTTTTTACAGAAGGTTTATTAAAGATTTTGCTAAAATTGCAAAACCTCTCTGTAATTTACTAGTAAAAGATACACCTTTTCTGATGGATGAAAACTGTTTGCATGCTTTTAATGTTTTGAAACAAGCTTTAACTTCTTCTCCTATTATAGTTGCTCCTGATTGGACTTTGCCTTTTGAATTAATGTGTGATGCGAGTGATTTTGCTTTAGGGGCAGTTCTGGGCCAACGAAGAGAGAAGAGTCTGCATGTTATTTGTTATGCTAGTAGGGTGTTGAATGATGCTCAAATTAATTATGCAACTACTGAAAAAGAGTTTCTAGCGATCGTTTTTGCTCTTGATAAATTTCGTTCTTATCTTGTTGGATCAAAAGTGATAGTTTTTACCGATCACTCTGCATTGAGGCATCTTCTATCGAAGAAAGACGCAAAACCTAGACTAATAAGATGGGTTTTACTACTGCAGGAGTTTGATTTAGAAATAAGAGACAAAAAGGGGTCGGAAAACCTTGTTGCTGACCACTTGTCTCGTTTAGAGCATACACAAGCTGTAATTCCTGAGAAACCAATAAATGATGAGTTTCCAGATGAGGGCCTTTGGGCCATTGATAAATCTATAGTTCCTTGGTTTGCTGATTATGTGAATTTCCTAGTTTCTAACATTGTTCCGCAGGACCTAAGTTACCACCAGAAAAAGAAGTTCTTTGCCGATGTCAAGCATTATATGTGGGATGACCCCTTGCTCTTTAAACGATGTGCTGACGGAATTGTGAGGAGATGTGTGCCCGAGGAAGAGATGGTCCAGATTCTCAACGATTGTCATTCCTCGCCTTACGGTGGTCATCATGGGGCTGAGCGGACAGCAGCAAAAGTTCTGCAAAGCGGCTTCTATTGGCCAACTCTTTTTAAGGATACTAGGAGTTTTGTGATGGCGTGTGATAGATGCCAGCGTACTGGAACCATCGGTAAGAGGCATGAAATGCTTCAACAAGGTATTTTTGAAGTTGAATTGTTTGATTTGTGGGGTCTGGACTTTATGGGTCCATTTCCTCCTTCTAATGGTAAGCTTTATATTCTTGTTGCGGTCGAATATGTGTCTAAATGGGTAGAGGCAGTTGCCTTACCTGATAATACCGCAAAAAGTGTGGTCAAGTTCGTTAGGTCTCTCATATCCCGCTTTGGTGTGCCTAGAGCTTTCATTTGCGATAATGGTGTGCATTTTAAAAATTCTCAATTTTTATCCTTGCTTTCCAAATTTGGTTGTCATCTCAAATCTGGAACCACTTACCATCCGCAATCAAGTGGACAGGTAGAGGTTTCCAACCGCGAGATTAAGTCTATTCTTGAAAAAACAGTGAACTCAACTCGGAAAGATTGGTCATTAAAGTTGCTTGATGCATTATGGGCTTATAGGACTGCCTATAAAACACCCTTAGGGATGTCTCCGTATAGGTTAGTCTATGGTAAGTCTTGTCATCTCCCTGTTGAGTTAGAACACCGTGCTTATTGGGCTGTCAAAACTTTGAATTATGACTTGAAAGCTGCAGGTGAAAAGAGATTGCTTCAGTTGAATGAACTTGATGAGATTCGCCGAGAATCCTATGAGAGCTCTCGAATTTTTAAAGAAAGGACTAAGGCATGGCATGATAAAAAAATTCTAAGGAGGGAGTTTAAGGAAGGGCAAGAAGTTTTGTTATTTAACTCTCGTCTTAAGCTTTTTCCAGGTAAACTGAAATCCAGGTGGTCAGGGCCCTTTGTTGTGACCAAAGTTCATCCTTATGGAGCAATTGAGATCGAGGGCAGTGAGAAGAGGCCATTTGTGGTCAATGGACAAAGATTGAAACACTTTTTTCGCGGGGAGCCAGTTTCTAATGCTGAGTCAAACACCCCCCATTCGGATTGACGTATTTTTTGAAGTGTCTAGCTCTAGACGTTAACTAAAGCGCTTATTGGGAGGCAACCCAACATTCATTACATTATCCTTTACTTTTCAGTTTTTTTTCAGCTTTCTACTTTCTTCGTTTTCTGTTTTTTTTTTCCTTTTGTTTGCAGAATAAATGATGATCCGATGATGGAGCATAGCTTGGATATAATCCAGCTGAGTTCTTCTAAATAAATATTTCAGGGAGTACTCTTTTCCCTTCCTCTTTTACTGATTAACATTGAGGACAATGTTTTCTTCAAGTGTGGGGGAGGTTGTTTGGTTTTGGCCTTAAATTTCAGCAGCTTTGATCTTGAATTCTTCCCCAGTTTGGACCTTTTATGGCCTATGATGAATTTAATGCCTTGTTAGCACCAATTTTAGTTACTTTCAAACATAAAGCTAGTATTTTTTTTCAATATGTCACTTCTATTCATCACTTTCGGATTTAAAAACAGTTTGTTTGAGCTGTTTTTGTTCTACTGTTTTTGCTAATACACCTGAATTTTGAGCCTTCTCCATAAGTGTGCTGGGCATTTTTTTTAATGTTAATGCAGTTCTGCAATTCAAATGTGTTTTTTTTGGGCAAGGTTTAAACTATAGAATGATGGAATGATTTTATGAAAAGAAACACTTGTCTTCTGACCCTTGAAGTGCTAGTTGTTTTTATTTAGAGGGCTGTTATCTTGTTGCTAATCATATTAGTTTCCAGCTGGTTTTTAAAGATCAGATTCTGCACTCTCTTTTAATACTAAGAATAGCATGGTCATATTGTTTTATACTAGCAATGTGTTTGAGTAGCTAAAGTTGATTCTAACTTGGCATTCCTGAGGCAAGTAAGTAAATCAGTTCATAAGGGTCTTCCTGGGAGAACTCTAAGTATTCTGTTGTGCTCAAGTTGGACTTTGCATGTGCTCATTTTTTTTGCTGGAGGACAAGCAAGACCCTAAGTGTGGGGGAATTTGATAGGCCCAATTTTATTATTCAATTTTAATATTTTATCTTGTTATTTTGGGCCTATTTTAATTCATTTTTGGGAATTAATGACTAATTTGGACTTCACTTATTTCTTTATTAGGAAAGGGAGAATTTGGAAAGAATTTTAACTCTTGGGGCCAAATTGCAAGAAATGGATACTTGAAGCTAAAAACATTCCAATCAGCACCTTAGCCATATTGAAGTGCCGTATACCTCTCTTAAGAAGGCATTAGTTTTCAATTTCCAAGTCTTGAACATCATGCGTGAGTATCTCCTCGGCCCCGCAGCGAAATCCCAGCCTTAGTCAAAATTAATGGGTGTAGTCGTTGGAGATTAACTTGCCAATTTTGAAGAGCCGAGAATCTGCCACTCCGTCCTATAAAACGCAGCAGCGCAGCAGCAGATAAGGGAGGAGGAACGGAGGTGAAAACTGGAGAGAAAGACAGAGGAACTCAGCCGCTCCTTCATCGATCATCTTCGGTTTTTCATTCTCTATTAATTAGTTAGTTTAATTTCAGATTTCCTAGTTCTTGTATTTCAATTTCAGAACTTTTACTTTCATGTTTATGCTATTGAAAGGTGATTTCTTCCATACCTTAGGTATGATATTTGGCTAGATTTTTACCCGAGGGATTTGGGATTAAAGCTTGGTAATAAGTGATTATCTCTTGTGTTTGGTTCTTCCATTGTAATCGACAGATTATTTTTCCAATTAAATTTATTTTATGAATTTCATTGATGAATTTTGCATTGAGCTCATGCTTAATTCTTATTGTTAGGTATCGTGTGATGCACCGACGGGTGAGGCATGATATTTGAGCCCGTAAAATAAACATGATTCACCTATACTAGACATAGTTGGGGAATTGTGGTGACTTTCAATTGTCGCTTTTTGGCTAGTTAAGTTTAGTGTTCAATCGACGGATTAACACTAGCTTAACCGGTACGCGCTAATATCTCGACGGAGAATTAGCATATTTTAGAACCAATTGTCACTTTAATTGCTTGAACCGACACTGAGATTTTCTATTAATATCAAGTGTATAACCCGAATCCCGAGGGCCGTTTTATCTATTGTCTACTTGATTAATTCTTAATTCTGGTTTTAGTCCTCGCTCTTATCTTATCAAAATCAAATCAAAATCAGTTTTTACTTTGTTGATAGAAACTTAAACCATTATAGTTCAATTTGTGCTCCTCGTGGGATCGACCCTGGAATACTCTGGGTTTTACTACGACCGATCTGTACACTTGCAGAAAAAAGCGGTCAGGAATCGATCCTAGTAAGTAGTAACTCGGCAAGATCGGACCTTAACTCCCAACATGCTTCCATTCGGCCAATCTATTCTTCGGATTATTAATTAACGCATCTCGTTATTAATAACTATCCTTGATGAATTGGATCATTAGGGGTGTTTGCAATTAATTATGCTTCTGCTTCTTTTTTAAAAGCATAATCAGAATTAGTTTTTCAGAAGCTGGTGTCCCTCAGCTTCAATTCTAAAAAACCTGCTTCTAGAAGGAATTTGAAGTATGCAGAAGTACTTTTGCACTTTCACCCAAACACTTCAATATCTGCTTCTGCAACTCTGCTCTCAAATGGAACAAAAGCAGTTTTAAGAAGTAGATCCAAAAACTTCCTTAATCTTCACGATTATGTATTCAAGAGTGAAGAGTTAAAGTAGTAACTACGATTAGCTAGAACTTCCACTAAGTGGAAAGTAGCAAGTTAAACCAGTTACCTTTGATAAATAAATTCTTGAAGCTTACTGCACATTCTGCGCATATATAAAGTGCAGTAAGTTTCAAGAATTTATTTGACTGCCTTCCCGGTCAAATTTCGAGCTGAAATTTGGTATGGACAAACTAGACTTGATGAGGAACATGCTCAAAACATTTCATCAAAAAATTACACCGGGAACCGCCCCAAACAGTAAAGTTCGGACGGTCCCTCCCGTCCCTCCGGACTGCTCAGGTCCCTCCGGAGGGACGGGAGGGACCGTCCGAACTTTACTGTTTGGGGCGGTTCCCGGTGGAATTTTTTGATGAAATTTTTTGAGCATGTTCCTCATCAAGTCTAGTTTGTCCATACCAAATTTCAGCTCAAAATTCGACCGGGAAGGCAGTCAAATAAATTCTTGAAACTTACTGCATTTTATATATGCGCAGAATGTGCAGTAAGCTTCAAGAATTTATTTGACTGCCTTCCCGGTCGAATTTTGAGCTGAAATTTGGTATGGACAAACTAGACTTGATGAGGAACATGCTCAAAAAATTTCATCAAAAACTTCCACCGGGAACCGCCCCAAACAGTAAAGTTCGGACGGTCCCTCCCGTCCCTCCGGAATGACCTGAGCAGTCCTCTATATATATATATATATATATAGAGTGCTCTTCATGTCAGGCCGGCCTGACGGGCTGCCCCGTCCGGCCGAGCCCGTTTGGGCACCTTCCCGGTGGAATTTTTTGATGAAATTTTTTGAGCATGTTCCTCGTCAAGTCTAGTTTGTCCATACCAAATTTCAGCTCAAAATTCAATCGGGAAGGTCGTCAAATGATTTTTGCAAGTTAACTGGTCCGGAATATGTAATATAGAGGAATGTTCATGTCAGGCCGGCCTGACGGGCTGCCCCGTCCGGCCGAGCCCGTTTGGGCACCTTCCCGGTGGAATTTTTTGATGAAATTTTTTGAGCATGTTCCTCATCAAGTCTAGTTTGTCCATACCAAATTTCAGCTCAAAATTCCATCGGGAAGGTTGTCAAACAATTTTTGCAAGTTAACTGGTCCGGAATATGTATTTTCCGGACCAGTTAAATTGCAAAAATCATTTGACGACCTTCCCGATCGAATTTTGAACTGAAATTTGGTATGGACAAACTAGACTTGACGAGGAACATGCTCAAAAAATTTCATCAAAAAATTCCACCGGGAAGGTGCCCAAACGGGCTCGGCCGGACGGGGCAGCCCGTCAGGCCGGCCTGACATGAAGAGCACTCTATATATATATATATATATATATATATAGAGAGAGAGAGAGAGAGAGAGAGAGAGAGTAGTCTTCCGGTCAGGTATACCTGACCGGAGCCCCGTCCGGCCTCCTCCATTTGGGGGCCTTCCCGGTGGTATTTTTTGCTCAAATTTTTTGTGTAGGTTCCTCATCAAGTTTAGTTCATCAATACCAAATTTCAGCCAAAAATTCAATCGGGAAGGTCGTCAAATGATTTTTGCAAGTTAACTTGTCCGGAAAATACATATTCCGGACCAGTTAACTTGTAAAAATCATTTGACGACCTTCCCGATTGAATTTTTGGCTGAAATTTGGTATGGACAAACTAGACTTGATGAGGAACCTACACAAAAAATTTGAGCAAAAAATACCATCGGGAAGGCCCCCAAATGGAGGAGGCCGGACGGGGGGAGTGGTCCGGCCTGGCCGGACCTGAATATTTGTTTATATATATATATATATATATATATATATATATATATATATATATATATATATATATATATATATATATATATATATATATAGGGTAAGGTTCAAGTGAGAAGAACCCTTTGGGTGAGAAATGAGAATGAATCTCAACCATTGGATTCGACTAAGTTGCAGTAAAAGACACTTCATGATGCACTGAAATATGCAATCTAGCACGGTGACATTTCTGTAAATACTTCTGAAAAATCTGTATTACACGTGTCTAGTGCAACATGAAGCTATTTCGGTGCAACACTGTCAAATATTAGTGCAACATGAAAAAGTTTTAGTGCAACATGTGCAAAATTTAAATATTACTGCAACATAAAGCCAATTTTAGTGCAACTTCGTAAATCCAATGGCTGAGATTCATTCTCATTTCTCACATTAGATGCATTTCTCACATGAACCGAAATATATATATATATATATATATATATATATATATATATATATATATATATATATATATATATATTGACAATTCATCTAAAAATATAAAATAAAAAAAATATAAGTTTTTCGTGTGCTTAGATAAGGTGTATGAAAGGTATACAAAAAGTTGAACATCAAAAACCAAAATAAGAATACCACAAAATAGTCTTTTATAATACAAGTGTCGAGACTTGCACAAATGCAAGAAATTGGAAGTTATTTGTGTATGCATATAAGGTCTACAAAGGTATATAAGAAGATGTACACCAAGAATGACTGATTAAAAATGAATAACTGGATCGAGGATAGTAGGATACTACATAATAGAACATGTTTTGTAATCTAGGTGTCGAGGTTTGGGTTCTTGTAATACTGGAGTTTATGAACAACCCTGATCAGTTAAATTCGAATTTGATCACAGTCAGCTTCGTCAAATACTGAGTTCAACGAACCAAAGTAAACCAGGACTTACACCACTTGCATGCACTGCAACCAGGCGGATCCCCCACCAAATGAAACCACTCTCTCTATTACCATCCTCTCCCTCTAGCCTCAACCGCTTGCCTACTCCATAAAGGTAGGGAAAATCATGGGTAGCAACACTTCCCGGCCCTCATCTCTCTTGATGGAAATCAATTTTAATATCTCTAAAAAAATGAGACTTCGCCCACTTTAGGCGCCCCAACACATTGACTCGACAAAATGGTAGAGAAGTAAATCGGGGTATATATGATCTCAAATAGTTATTGAGTGAGATGGTTTAAGCCAGTGTTCTAAAAGGCGTTAGGCGCTAGTCGGGCGGTGACTGGCTGCCTAGCGCCTAGCCCGCCTAGGCGCCGACTAGGGCGCCTAGGTATTTTCCTTTATTTCTTTGTTTTTTTTATTTTCATTGAAATTTAAATATATTACCAATAATTTTATATTATTTTGAAAATAGAAATAGCTCATATAATCATCAGATATTATGGTTTATGTATAAAAATTATAAATAATAAAATAATTAATAGATAAATGTAGAGCTTTATATATTTTTAGTCTCAAAAAATGTATATATACACTCTAAAAAGTTATAAATATGTCAAAATTATTTTTTATCGTAGTAATATGAAGCTAAACTATATAGAAATAGAATAGTTATTGATCAAATGTGGTTTTAAGTCAAAACGGGGAAAAAAAGTTGAATCGGGGAAAAAATTAATCCGGACCGCCTAGCCACCGCCTAGCCCGCCCAGGAGCCCGCCTAGGCGCCCAACCGATTTTTTCAACCGATCACACCAAAATCGGGGCGCCCGGCCACCGCCTAGCGCGTAGGCGGGCGCCTACCCCTATTTTTAGATCCATGGTTTAAGCCTAATGCGCATAAGAATCCATGAAGTTAGATGAAACTCTCATGCTCTCCATTTCAACCCAATTGTGTCACTCAATCACACCTTGAGCTATTCATGTCGGTTAGTTTTTATCTATTATGGGATGATGTTATCGGATGAGACAATACCTTACATCAATGATTGAGGGCCTACAATTCTTCCACAATTATTGGACAACAGCTTCATATTTCATAATACAAATTTGTAGAAAACACTTCCAATCCATTAATACATACACCATACTCCCTCCGTCCCCTTTTAAATGGGACGGGAGATGCACTACAAAAAAACACGCGTGTAGTCACGGACTTAGTCACGGACAGCAGTTCAATTTTTCCGTGACTAACAGATGTAGTCACGGTCGCTGACCGTGACTAAGTTCGTGACTTAACGGGCGTGACTAAATTGAAGTCACGTCCAACAAACCGTGACTAAATTTAGTCACGGAATAGTCACGGCCGACGACCGTGACTATAATACTAGCCGGAACCCCACTCGGGCGTATTAGTCACGGTCAGAAGCCGTGGCTAAGTTTTTTTTTTAAATTAATATTAGTAGTCACGGCTTTGGACCGTGACTAATCTTTCTAATTTTCAAAATTTTTAAAAGACCGCCCGCGGCGGTAATTTAAATTTTTGAAATTAGTCACGGGTGTCGACCGTGACTAATTGGTTTTTTTGGAAAAAAAAATTATGTTTTTTATTTAAAAAAACTAATAATTTCGGATTAATTATAGTCACGGATAAGGCCGTGACAACTTTTTTTGTTTTTTAAAAAAAAAATTCCAGTTTTCGTTTTTTTTAAAATGTTTTTAAAAATTACTTTTTTAAACACATTTTTAAATTTAAAAATGTTTTTTGAAAAATGAGTTATTGAAAATATTATACTATTTTTTTTTAAAAAAAAATAAATACATTTTAAGAGTAAAGACATACAACAAATTCAATAAATATTGTGACAAACTTTTAAATGTTTTGAAATATAACAAATAATAAATGTATGATGATTACATGTCCCGTGGGACTCCATTATTATAAAAATTGGGATTTTCTTCTTCTTCTTCTTCATCATCATCATCATCAACAAGAAACTCAACTGGGTTCACGGGGGGGTCTTCGGGGTCAGGTCGGGTTCCTCCTCGGGGTGCTCCTCGGGGTCCTCCTCGGGGTGCTCCTCGGGATCCATGACCCGGGGTGCCACTACCTCCTCCGGATGATCTCGCAAAGTCAAAGGACATATATCCGAAATTCGGGGAGATCATCGGCATGCCACCGTATCCGGAGGTGGGGAAAAATCCCATACCGCCCATGTGCTGAACTTGAGGAGTTTGCTCAGGGTGGAATACGTACGGGGGAGGAAAAGGCTGTGGCGGAGGCTGGAATCCGGCACGCATGAACCGTTCCATCTCCTCCAACCGAGCTTTTGTGGCCTCATCTGCTTTCCGCTGCTCCTCCCATCGCCGTTCGTGCTCCTCCAGTTCACGCTGCAGTGTAGCAATACGAGGATCTTCTCCCCGCCTTGACCGAGAAGAGGAAGCACCGGTGCTTCGATCATACAAAATCCGTTGCCCCTCGGACCCCAAGCACGGAACCCGGCCCTTGTAAACCCCGGCCGCCTCAATGGCCGCCTCATCATCCGCATCGGAATCGAGGTCGTCCTCCTGGGTCAAGCCTCGTGCCGCACGCTGCCTGTCAACGGATTCGTTGTACTTCGTCTGCATTTTCAAAAATATTTTTTAAATGCTACATACTTAGATTTGAAATGTTACTAAATAACAAAATATGATGTTACATACTTCGAAGTCAGCGAGGCGGGGTGGCAAATCGGCTTCAGATTCCTCGCCGTGCTTCGTCCAGCAATGCTTGACGAGCCGGAGAACATCAACCCTCTTCTTCTCAGGACCAGCCTAAATGGTGTGAAAAAGACTTAAGTAAATTTTTTATAATGAAGGATTGTGATGTTGTAAGGTTTTTTGAATAGCACTTACAAGAGTTTCCTTATGGGCATTCTGAGATTTACGACCTCCGTGCCACTGCATCTCCAAGGCCTTCTCGGACATCCGGTTTTTCTTACCGGATTCACTTCTAGCCAAGAATTTCGGATCAGAAGACCAGTGGAGACAAAGGTTGGACCACACTTCATCCGAAACCCATCTAGGCTTTTTCCCACTTTTTCGCGCACGTTTAAAAGTGGCGCGAAGCCAGGTCGAAATCCTAGCATTGTAGGCTTTAAGAATATCGGCACCGTTTGCGTGAGTCCAACGATAGCGAGCCTTTATTAAAACAAATTGGATTAATTAATCACCAGGTATATATTAGGCCAATACAATCAGGGAGGGAACATTCATTTATTTTTACCTTGAACAGGTTCCACCATAGTTCGCGAACCTTGGGGTCAACATCCGACAGCGTGGCCCAAGTGCCAAGAAAGTGTCCTCCGATTATGCTTTTGATGCCTTTGAACACTTGTTCGTCACTTAAAAAAATTAATAGTATTTATTTATATAAGATTTGGTTAGATTATTTAACATTATATAAAATTATTGAAAATAAGGTTTCTTCATAACTACTTACAAAAGAACATCTGCAGGGGTCACCCAAACAGCTCCTTCGTTGTTGCGCTCCGCTTCGGACATGGGCGCATAGTTAGGGCGGGGAGCTGAGGTCGATTGTTCGTTGCTCATCTAAAATATATTAATTTAATTTGTTTTTTGTTAGAACTCTTATAATAGAAAATCAAATTTTTATGTAAGTATTGTCTATTGTCAATGTATATAACATATTAAACTGGGTGTAAGTTTAATATTAGGTTCCAATAATTGCTAATAAACAAATCCTATAATTATTAATGAGTTGACACAGTCGACCGAAGAATCAACCGGTTGGAGCTCATCAATGAGTTGACCCAGTCGACTCATTGATAAACTCCATCCTGACGATTCTTCAGGCTACGCCTTGAACCATGGATGGGCTACATCACATGTGTTTGGGAGAGTCCATCGATGACTCAAGCCGTAGCCAGAAGAATCCACAGATTGGAGCTTATCTAAGAATTGACTAGGTCAACTCATTGACAAGCTCCAACTGATCGATTCTTCGATCGACTGGGTCAACTCTTTGATAAATTATAGGATGAGTTTATAAGAAATTATTGAACCACTCATATTAAACTTATACACAGTTTATTAAATTTTTATAGGGAAAAATAATAAAAATACCCCAAACTTTGATGGGATGTGACAAGAGCACCACAAACTTTCATATGTAATTTAAATATCTCAAACTTTATATAAAGTTTGGGGTGTTTAAATTACTTATGCAAGTTTGGGGTGCTTACCTCACACCCTTTCAAAGTTTAGGGTATATTTATTATTTTTCACTATAAAAAATTATAGTGAAAAATGCCCTTGGAGGTAACATGAGGGGTCCATATTTTTTCATAATAAGTTCTTCTATATTAGGGGTCCATATTTTTTCATAATAAGTTCTTCTATAGCATATTAAACTATCTATTAGTTTAATATGAGGGGTCCATATTTTTTCACAATAAGTTCTTCTATAATTTGGCAATAAATTGCCCTTGGAGGAAACATGTTAAACTTTTTGCAAAGTTTACATGAGAGGAGATCATTTTTTTTGTTTTAGATATATCATTTTAAAATAAATTTAAAACAGTTTGTTAAATCAAGTTTTTAAAACACTTTTTATTAAAACAGTTTTTATAAAAACAGTTTTTATAAAAACAGATTTTATAAAAACAGTTTTTATAAAAACAGTTTTTATAAAAACACTTTTTCTTAAAACAGTTTTTATAAAAACTGTTTTTTACAAAAATCTGTTTAATAAAACAGTTTATATAAAACAGTTTATTTATATCAATTTTTATAAAAACAGTTTTTTTAGATAAATTATAAAAACAGTTTTTATTAAAACAGTTTGTATAAAAACAGTTTTTATTAAAACAAATTTTATTAAAACTATTTTTTACAATAATCTGTTTAATAAAACACTTTAATTAACAGTTTTTATAAAAACAGTTTTTTTATATAAATTATAAAAACAGTTTATATAAAAAACAGTTTGTATAAAAACAGTTTTTATAAAAACAGTTTTTATAAAAACAGTTTTTATAAAAACACTTTTTATTAAAACAGTTTTTATAAAAACTATTTTTTACAATAATCTGTTTAATAAAACAGTTTTTAATTAACAGTTTTTTTAAAAACAGTTTTTATAAAAACAGTTTTTTTTAGATAAATTATAAAAACAGTTTATATAAAAACTGTTTGTATAAAAACAGTTTTTGGAAAAACAGTTTATCTAAAAACAGATTATAATTTAACAGTTTATAATATAAAAAATAAAAATAATTTTTTATGCTTATACTATTATAAAAAACAGTGTTTCGTCCAGTTTTTTTCGGGAATAAATTTATATGTTTAATATTTTGTTAATGGATATTACGGAAATTATATTTAAACGTGTTAACCTATTTTTGGAAGTTTAACACGAGGGGCTATTTATTTAAACAGTTTTTTTAAAATATTTTCATAAATTAAATATTTTCGGAAATTACATTTAAAGTAATACATATGTATAGAGAGGCATGCAAATCAAACACTAAACATATATATTAAACATCGTACTAATTGTATAAGCATGCATTAGTTCGAATACATATTGAGCAAGGTTTAAATAAAAAAAGAATATAATATATATGAACAAGAAAATAAAGACAGTTTATTTAATAAGTTTGTTCAAATATTTTCATAAATTACATTCGGAAATTAATTTTTTTTTTAAATTAAGTTTGTTGAAAAACAGTTTATAAGTACTTTAATCATGCATATGAACATATATTAAACATAAAATAATCTAAATCATTTAAACATAATTATCATGCATACCAAACATATAAACCGATATTATCATGCAAAACTACAAATCATGCATATAATAAATCATACATACAACTTTTGAACATTACAAGATGATATGAAACTAAAAATCATGTATCTTATCATGCATTTGAGTATAGTATCATGCATTTTTGGATTTTATATCAAATATTAGCAAATAAGATGTAAAGAACACATAACCTTGACTGAGAAAAGAAGGGGCGGCGACGGAAGGCGGCGGACGACGGCGGACTACTGGTTGTAGACGACGGGAACGGCGGATGCTAGGCGGCCACGGCGGCGACGGCAGATGCTAGGCGGCGACGGCGACGGCGGCGGCACTAAGCAAACTGGAAGAGAAGGAAGAGAGAAGGAAGAGGTGGTTTAGGGTTTGAGATATGGTGCGTAGGATTTTTTAAAAAAACGCTAAGTGTTTGTTTTATATAATTGTTTAGTCACGGTTGTAGTCACGGTCAGGACCGTGACTAAACCCTTCGTAATTGACGATGTCAGCGAGGCGGTCAGAGCCGCCTTTAATCGGAATAGTCACGGTCATAGCCGTGACTATGACCGTGACTGTTTTCAAAATTTGAAAATAGTCACGGTCATAATCACGGTAATGACCGTGACTATTGTGGTCAGCGCTCCTCTGACCGTTGGCCCTGACTTCGGCATTTACGAAGGGTGTAGTCACGGTCCTGACCGTGACTACAACCGTGACTATTTAATTTATAATTTCATTTTCCTGTCACCCAAGCATTTTATGCTAAAAAATGACTAATAAAGAACCAATTGACTGAGATATGATGCGTACAAGAATGTGTCGTCTGAAACTATGTACACAACTTATTGAACCGAAAAATGAATAAGGTGTGGTTCTGTTCGTCTTTGTGTTAGTTATTACTTATTGTTTATTCTTATTTTATTCAAATCAGATCAGAAAAATTCAGACATGATTTATTATTATTAATAATAATAATTATTATTATTCTTATTATTATTATTATATCGTTATAATAATATTAATTGTGTATATATTAATTGTGTTTATATTACTATTATAATATTATAATACCATCGTAATTGTAGTGTGGACTGTGGAGTATTAAATAAACTGCTTTGAATTTATGTGGTATAGAACAGATTAAGGAGTAATTATTTTACAAACAATAATGATGAAAGAAATTATCAAATATGCTTGGAGAAATTATATCACAAAATTGAAATTACAACAGCACAATTACTCGCTGTCAGAATCGTTATTTTCTACATATATAGTGTCTTCTTCTGTATCTGAACCGTCTATCCATTCACCTTCTTCCTGATATTGAGCATTTTGTTGTGCTACATACATTTCCTCAATTTCGCGCTCAGATGGAATGGTTAGGTCCGGAAGGTGCGTTTCTGGCATGACTTCAACACGTCCGCCATTTGGATCACTTAATTGGACGTTATAGTTGACCGTCTCAACAATAGGCGGAGGTTGGAAAAATTGTTGCTGAAAAGCATCTAGATCAACGTCCTTGTGTTGAGTTTGTGATTTAATTTTGTTCGGACGGACAGGACATGCACACACCCAAGGATTCTGGGTCCGCCTTGTTGTAGGATATTCTGCATAATAAATCTGCGCTGCTTGTTGGGCGAGTATGAAAGGCTCATTTTTCGGGTACACACGAGAGTGGTTGACGTCAATCATATTATACTTCGGATTTTTTCGCACGCCACGTGTGGGATCAACCCATGTGCAGCGGAACAGAACGCATGTCATTTTTTTCGCACTAGAAGGCATCTCAAGTTCCAGAATCTCCTGCAGGACACCCAAAAAATTGGTTTCCGAGTTATCATAACCGATGGTCGGGACACATAACCCGCTGTTCGTTGTTGGTCGGCCCTCTCCGTAATCGGCTGTGTGATATGTGTAACCGTTTATCACATATTGCCGCCACACATTGGCACTGGCACCTGGGCCCCACGCTAATGATACTAACAAAGGGTCGACAATCCCACGACTATTGATCTGTAAATATAAACATAATAATAACATTAGGTAAACATTAGGTAATATATATAATTAATGTGTGTGTATATATACCTGATACTTGTACCAATTTACAAAATCAGAGTCCACCAACGCATCAATTTCATTCTCAGGAAAGGCTGATAAAGAAGCTCGGAATTCACTGTGAAGTCAAAAATAAAAAAAAAACTATAAATTAACTACAAATTTAATTTATAAGTATTACAATTATACCTACAAATTTAACTTACTGATAAAACGGTGAGATTTCTGGACAATTCATGAGGATATAAGTATGCGCAATTTGCAATTCCCCACCCAGGATGTATCGTTGTGTCGCAGCACCTTTACCTCTGCCTGGGTAATTAAAGATGGAAACTACATTTTCATATAAATCCTCGCCAATGTCATCGTTCCGGGCAGGTCTCTTCCTTCTGGTGATGACCTCACGCTCGAAGTAAAAAGACGAGAACGTTGAGATTTCTTGTTGAAGATACGCTTGACAAATTGAAGCCTCAACGTGTGCCTTGTTGGTCACTTTCTTTTTCAGCTCTCCTAGAAATCTGCAATAATGCAATAATACACATGTTAACAGTTATTGTGAAATAAATATATTTTTTTAAATGAAATTGTGACTAACCTTTAAAATCTGTACATCCACCTATAGAAGACGGGCCCAGCAGTCAAAGCCTCATACGGAAGATGTATTATGAGATGTTCCATTGTATCGAAAAACGATGGTGGCATTATTTTTTCCAGATTACACATCAGAATGGGAACAGACTCTTGTAGTCTCCGGAGGGATGCCGCATCCAAAACACTGGAACATATCGATTGAAACAACAAACTGATTTCAGTAATGCAGGACCATACGTGTTCAGGGAGCATCTCTTTTAGTGCAATTGGTAGAAGTCTTTGCATTATTACATGAGCATCGTGAGTTTTCATGCTCGTCGTCGTGGTAAGTTTGTTCATGTCTACGCATCTAGACAAGTTGGAGCAGTAGCCATCTGGAAACTTCTGAGACGCAAGCCATTTTAATATTGCTGCCTTTTGTGGTTCTGTGACCTGGTAGACTACTTTTGGAACTTCCTTGCCCTGATATTCTAGATCAACAGAAAGTTCGGGTCTATCACACCAAATAGTCATATCTTTCCTAGCTGCAAGACCGTCTTTAGTTTTGCCTTTCAAATCCATCACCGTGTTAAATATATTGTCAAAGACGTTCTTCTCGGTGTGCATGACATCTAAATTGTGACGGATGAGAAGGTCTTTCCAATAAGGCAACTCCCAGAATATGCTCCTCTTTGTCCACTTATGGGTATCACAATACCCATATGGCTCTTGGTTTGGCTCTTCCATAGCCGTAGGAAAACGTCGAACCCGGTTATAAATTTCTTCACCTATGTCGTGGTTTCTTTTTACCTTGACGAACAGGTTTGTATCTGTCTCCACCACAGAACTTGCAGAACTCAAGTGCCTCATCCTCCTTCCAGAACAACATACATCCTTCCGGGCACGCATCAATTTCAACACAAGGTAGCCCCAACTTAGACATTAACTGCTTCATGTGGTAATATGAATCGGGAAGGGTATGATCTCGCGGTAGCATCCCTCCTACTGACTGCAAGACTCTATTCATGCAAGTTTCAGGGAGACTGTATTCGGCTTTTATGTTCATGAACTCAGTAACAGCGGATAGCTGAGAGTATCCCTCACAATCAGCATACAGAGGTTGGTCGACAGCTTTTAGAACATCCTGAAATCTCTCAGCCAAACCTTCATCCACATAAGGTTGATAAAATGTCGGATTTTCATCCGCATCTGGTTGATACGAGGTTGAGGCTTCAGGGGGGTCGTTAGGTGGTTGTGGGGGGTTGAATTGAGACGGTACACCGTATGCGTCATATACCATTTGTTGGTCCCACCTCATTTCAGCACGGTCTCCCCACGCACTCATCTCTGGAGGGACGTAACGAGACGAACCTACCGTTTGTGGTATAACAGATGGATCCAAAGGTTCGCCGTGAGAAGTCCAATTATAATAATTGGGAACAAAACCGACCGCGTACAAATCATACCCAACTTCGTGTGGGTCTTTAAATTTGAGATTTTTACACTTTGAACATGGACATCTTATTTTATCACCACTCATATAAGCCGGATGTTCAAGTGCAAATTCAATAAATTCCCCGACTCCCTCGAGAAAATTTGATTGCATTCCGTACAATACCGCATCTTTATCATACATCCAACTTCTATTTTGTTTATACATTATGCCTGAATATTATAATAAAAAATTATATGAAATGCAATGCACACAATTTTAAGTAATTTATTTCACTAAATATAATCAACTAATTTTCACTTTTTTAAATGAAATGCACAGAATTCACAACCATAATGCACAAAATATATGTCCCCTAATGCACAATAATGCAGATAATTTCACTAAATTAAACATACGTTTAATTAAATCTAACTAATTCATTTAGTTAAATTTAACTAAATTTAACTAGTTCATTCCGTCCCCTTTTAATGCATCACTACGTTTAAACCTACGTTTAGCTACCTAATTTAACTTAATTAACACATCAATAGCTACGTTCAAACCTACGTTTAGCAAACGAATTTTAATTAAATTATTTTTGTAAACCTACGTTTAGTTTAAACCTACACTAAATTATTACGTTAATGACATTTAATCTTATTAGTAATACACAATTAACAATTCACTAAATTAAATAATATGACCAAATTCAACCCAATAATTTGAACATGTATATAAAGTTATTTGAATTAATAAGCAATACACAATTCACAATAACAATTCACAATTCACTTAATTAACACATTACTAACGTACGTTATTTGAACTAATTTCACTAAACATAAACATCATTACGTTTTAAACTACGTACATTTAGCTAACTAATTTTAATTAAATTATTTTATAAACCTAAAAGTTTAACTAATTCTAATTTATGACATTACTACGCTTATAGTTAAAACATGTTGTTAATTAATTAACAACCTCACTAATTTAATAGTTTTAATAATTTAAATTGAACCAACTAATTCTAAATAAAAATTATAATTCAAATAACATACCTTATTATCTGCATAAACAGGAAAAATGATAGAAGATAGACTACATCCTTCGATCTTTCAAACGGATACTGTATATACTGGGAATGAATTGATGTGGTTCTGTTCAATGAGCTGCTCCTGCATATATATAAAATTTAGTCACGGACTTAGTCACGGATTTGTCCGTCACTAAGCAAAACCGTGTCCAATACGCGTCCAACACGTGTTAATGACGTGTTAATGACGTGTTAATCAAATTAGTCACGGAACTAGTTAAGGACATGGCCGTGACTAAAGTTATCCGTACATAATACCGTTGCGCATTAAGTTAAGGGAGTTGAAAAAATTAAAATTTAATTATAGTCACGGGTATAGTCACGGATTTGGCCGTGACTAAGTCGTCGGAGTCAAATAAACTTCGCCGGAAACGGAAACGGGCCTATCGGAGGACTTAAGTCACGGGCCCAGACCGTGACTAACATTAGTCACGGTCATAGTCACGGTCTGGACCGTGACTATTTTTTTTTTAAATATCCGTGACTAGTCCGTGACTAGACCGTGACTAAACTAGTCACGGACCAAATCCGTGACTAAAATCCGTGACTATAACGATGTTTTTTTGTAGTGATGGTGACACGGGTTTTAAGAAAAGTGGGTTTGTGTGGTTGATATTAATTGATAAAGTAAGAATAAAGTAAGAATAAAGTAAGAATAAAGTAAGAATGATTTTGACTCACACAAAGTTTACCAAATAAGGTATGAGGCAATTAAATAGGGACATCCCAATATGGTAAAACGGGACATAGTCATGGACCCGGGCCGGTCCGGTTCCGGGCCCGTCCGGGCTTTTTTTTTTTGGGAAGGAAGGCCCGGGACCGGCCCGGGTAGCCACCGGGTCCAGTCCGGGTCCGGGCCGGGCCTCCGGTTCGGGCAATTTTTTTTTTTTTGCTTTCCTAACCCCCCCCCCCTCCTCACCCCCCCAAACCCCCAAACCCCTCCTAACCATCAAGCCCAACCCAGCTAACCCCAAAAAATGAAAAAAAAAAAAAAAAAAAAAAAAAAAAAAAAAAAAAATCAATTCGGCCCGGGCCCGACCCGACCGGTTCGCCAAATACAAGGCCCGAGCCCGGACCCACCCCCCACCGGGCCTAGGCCCGACCCGGACCCAGACCCGAGAACTGGGCCTGTTCCGGGCCCGCACAGTGGCGGGCCGGGCCGGGCCGGTCCCGGGCCGGGCGGCCCGAACCGGGTCCATGCCTAACGGGACATTTAAAAGGGGACGGAGGGAGTAGTAGTTAACTACTTAACTTCCTCTAACACTCGAGTATGTAAGAATGCCTCCTCACCCAAAACAAGCTGTCATAAGCTATTATAGTATTCCCCAAGAAAATTGAAATCATCCATATATGACGTGAGAACAAAAGTTAATAAATAGAATATTTACCTCCTTATTTCAAATACATTTTCTATATTTGCTAATCTTGTTCAGACAATGTCAAACACACCATCTAGTCATAGATCACGTTGTGAACTTGTGATTGAAATTACTAATATAAAATAACTAAAAACATACGGAGTACTACATATAAGATCATAAAAAGATCTAGAGAGTATTAATTTAATTTTATACCCTTATGAAATGTGTACACTTTTTTTACCCGGGGTCAGGTGAGAGGGTTGGGGGGTCAGGGTAAAGTGGGTTCAAACTCCATGGAGTATTGAACTCTGGACTTTCCACAAAGGAGAGTGAGTCGACGATCAGCTCATATTCAATATGGTCGCTCACCAATATAATTTCCAGGTGGATAATAATTACACGTCATGAAAACATCACCATCATCACAAACAGACCTCACACACCCAACCCTCGACGTTCTTCTCCACACAATCTGAGTGTAATGCCCACAAACCTGCCCATCCTCACAAGAGTTGCTCCCATAGTCGTAATACTTCTCCTCTGCAGCCCAAGCGTTGACCGCGTCGCTGGGGGTCCAACTGGTCCCACTCCCCCAATACAAGTTCTCCCCGAGCTTGAAATCCCCCTCCGGGAAGGAGTGCACCAGCTGGCAGTCTGCCTTCCTCTGGCCTGCCCACCACCTGGCGTAGCTCCCCAGCTGTGGGTCCCACACCAGCGGGGCCTCCCACTTGGCTGCCCTGACCAGGTTGTGCTGGAACAGGAACCGTACGGCCTCTCCTATGCAGTTCCAGCAGAGCTGTTTGGAGATCGTGTAGATGGTTTCATTGTTAAGGTTTTTCATGGGAGATAGTGATAATGGTGATGATGATGCCATGGAGAGAGCTAGTAGAAGCAGAAAATAAAGGGTGGTTTTCATTTTTTGGTTTGTTAGGGCTCAAATTACTGAAAGCTATCGCATATATATGTACTTTTGAGAAGGTTACGTTCTATATACAGTATAAATACGTACCAAAAATATACTTAACCAAAATTATACTCGATCCATACTACGTACGTAAGTGCACAAATATGTAATACTTATTTCTTTAAAGTGACAACTCCGGTACCCATTTAAAAAAGATAGATTCTCTGGTACCCAAAATGTACCATACATTTGTCCACATGAACCATTTAGAATATTGCAGTTGAATTATTTAAGTCTAAATTAAAAATGATATACCTACTTGGACCAATCAAGAGAATGATAGGTACGGTACCCCATTTTTTAAATGGGTACCGGAGTTCTCACCTTTAAAAATGGGGTACCGTACCTATCATTCACACGATTGAATGGGAGTCATAATTTGAATTGTGATTGGAGAACAACGTATACCCTTAATTATAGGGGTTTATTAAGAAATTAAATAAAGAATAATGTAACCATCGAGGTTGATTGGGCCATTGGGTGCATGGCTTAATTATAAAGACCTTCAAATTAAATGGGAGGCCTGGGATCCGCGTTGCGTGGTTTGGTGAATGCCCAATATTATGTATATGAAATATATTTTTGTGGAATTCACACTATGGAATTCAAATTACACACAAAAAGGGCAAAAATAAAGACACATGTAATATGTTTACATGTAGCACGTGTGTCGCCCATGGCATAAGGGGCATGATGACTTGACGTGATCCTCATCAAAAGTCTCTCATATACTGAACACACATGCACACAATGAATGAGTTCTAATACAAAGAGATCTTCCCATGAAAAGTGAGAAGTGATGTAAGCCGCGATCACTTTAAAATGGACGAAATAGATTCAAAATCATAGTAACAAATTGTTAAACACAAATGCACAATGCTAAATAGTAAAAGTGCACATGCAATATGTAAGGTTGCACATTCACCTAGTTAAAAAATATCACAAAATAACTTTTATAATTGTCATTTTATTTTGAAAAGTGATGCATTTTTGTGTTACTCAAATGCGCCTTTTCTCCATATAAATGCACATTTTCACTCATTTTGATTTGCTAATTAGTTCGGGAGAAAACATATGAACAATTGTGACTCATGAAAAGTAAAAAAGATCTACTAAAACTCGTAAAGATGTGATGAAAATTTTGATAAATAGGGATGTTTTCACAGGGACTGATTGTCATCTCGGACCATTCCAAAATAGACTAGACCAAAATTTAAAGATCAATACAAACTTAAAAAGATTAGACCATACCCGATCGGACTTCGATAGTTCTAAATTAAATACATATAGGCCAGACATCACCTGATCAGACCAGACAAAACCATACTCCAATAAACCCAATTATAGATCAAACTCAATCAGGTCAAAAAATTACAATCCAATTAAAAACACCCGAATAGCTTAAAAAGGATTTAAGTTTTATGTATGGGAACAATTTAAAATTCACTATCAGTCAAAAATATTACTATGTAGTATATACTAAGAGCATGTTTAGTATACATAAGTCTCTACATTCTAGCTTTTGTATTATCTAAAAACATTGAGTAGCATTTGAGAAAAGTCTTTAGCTTTTAGCATTAATTAGTCAGAACAACTTTTATACCAAACATAACGGATCAAGCAGTAAGTTTTTTATCAAATAGCTAACGACTTCTTTGAAAAAATTATCAATATTTTGAATCATTAAAGCTAACAATTATTGAAAAAATTTAAAAAGTATCGTTTTAGCTATTTGTGTCAAACATACTTACATACGTACTCTCTCCGTAACAAAAAAAAAATCTTCCCACTTTCCTTTTTCGTCCGTAACAAAAAAATCTTCCCACTTCTAAATCTTCCCATCATACCCTCAATAATTCTAAAATAATATACTATTACAACTACTTTTTTTGGATTTATCCTACATTCCATCACATTATTCCACTATCTTCCCATCATACCCTCAATAATTCATATCATCTTTCACTATTTTTAATCTACCTACTTTTGAAATGGGAAGATTTTTAAGTTACGGAGGTAGTATATGGTATAAGAATGTAAAAATATGTTCCGTAAAATCCACTCCCATCTGGAATTTGTAAAATGGTGTTTGCACCACCATATATGTTTGGGGATGAGACCTGGCAAAATTCCCAAGTGATATTATTTTTATTGGAATTGCAAAAAGGTAAAAGACGGTTTATTAAAAATCAAAATAAATATTATAGTCCACATTAAACTCACTAAAGAATTAAAAAGCTTAAGGAACGGAAATTATCGAGGATTCCTTCATGGAAACGGAACAAGAGAATTACAAAAGTCAATATTGAAAGTGTACAACTTATTAGAACAAATTGTTATTGCTTCTTTATTACACAAACATTTTTTTCATTCCTAATACAACCTTACCATCATTGTTGCTTATACTTTTTTATTTATTGTATAAGATATTGATCCACAGGGTTTGCATGTTCTCAAAGAGTCTTGGAAGTTGGTTGTCCAGATGAGTTAGGATGTTTTTATTTGGAATGTAATTTGATGGTCTGATCTGGTTTGATCTGATTTGATCTGGGACAGATTAAAATCCAAGTAAAAACATCCATAGTTATAGGTTACGAAAACAAAGGCACTTTTATCCTTATTATACAACAACATTATATTACTCGATCGGTTACTAGAAAACTAAGTACATCCGACCCTCTAGATAAAAAAAATTAAAAAAAAAAAACGTAATAATGATTATACGAAATTACGAACGCATAAAATGATGGGAATGAACATTTTATTTGGACAATGTTTTTGGGTCTACCCAGGGGCGGAGCCAAGGGGGGGTCAGGGGGGTCAGTCGACCCCGCTGAAAGTTTGAGAGCATAGAGCTCTGAAATATCTTCGATTTGATATATTATAGCCCCCGTAACTCATTACGAGTAAAAAGTTATGACTTCTGCAAAATCAGCACTATCTAAACGTAAAATCAGCAAAATTTGATGAGTAATATTGAATTTTTCCCCCAAATTTTAAAATAGCGTATAATTAACTCATTACTTACGTGACATGACTCAAAAATAGAGCAAAAACAGTCTCTTTTATTGTTACGAGTGCCTATTTATCTAAACTACATATAAAATATTCAACTCGGACATACGATCCACCGTTTTCATTTTGTATAAAGTTGATTCTCGACCCCCCTGGACCGTATTTCTGGCTCCGCCACTGGGTCTACCATTGCAACCAGAATATTTACAAGGAGAACCATCCATGGAGCATGGACGGAACTTTCCAAATAGCAGTGTGCAGGATAGAGGGGATCGGACCCTGCAGCAGATGGATTGCAATCATTGAATGCCCACCGGCCACCACCGAGCATGGCCGCCTAGCTGGGCCCAGTTAACAGCTTATTTTTAAAAAATAAAATTTCAAAATAAATCTGTTGAAATATTGAGCCCGTTTGGCAGCACGAAAATCAACTGTTTTGGCTGATTCTGCTAAAATTTATGAAGTTCTGGCTGAAGTGGCTGTATCTACTGATTTAAGAAAAAAATTAGTTTTGAAATGTATTTTATTAATAAAATAAAGAAAATATTATATGTAAAAATAGCTAAAATGATCATCTACAGTAACTTCTGCCAATACAGCCAGAAAAGTAACTCCAACCTTATTTTTTCTGTTTATTACACAATTTAGCGCGCGAAAACAAAAATTATGTGTTTGATGAAAATGTTGGCTGATAAGCCTGATAAGCTGAAAAAATGTGTTGCCAAACTGCACCGTTATCTAGACGTGAAATGCAATGCAGTTTTCAGTTTTACACTTTACGTCTGAAAATGCTACAAAAAAAACTCTGTAACCCCGCTTAGTAACGAGTGCGTATATCATACCACCGGGTGTACGTACACCCGGCCCAATTAAGGGAAACAGCCCAACAATCAATAGAAGCCAATTTTTTTCGATGGCAATTTTGTAATTTAAGAGAAAAATCGCGAACTCTCTTAAATGGGCATTTATGCAACTTTGATGAGCATCAAGCCTATTCTTTTGAGTAACAGGAGCCTAACGGTGAACATCATTAATCTTTGCTTTCATACCTTATATATATCACTTTCTGGTTATTACTTTTCGTTTATTAAAGACTTAAGTTATGTCTAAATTTCAATTCATTTCAATATGTGTATATGATATGTTTGAAATGTACAACCTTTTAAAATGAGCATAAAGCAGTACCAAATGAGCACACATAACTTACAAAATGAGTATAAAAAAAATCAAAAGCTCATCATTTGTATGTGTTCATTCATTTTGGGCGATTTACTCATTTGAGTTTGACATAAAACTCATTTCTAATTGAATCTAATGTAGTATGATATGTTTAAAATGTGCAACCTTTTAAACTGAGCATAAACCAGTACCAAATGAGCATACATAACTTACATAATGAGTATCAAAAAATTCAAAAAAAAAACGCATTTGTATGTACTCATTCATTTTGAACGTTAAACTCATTTGAATTTAACATTAAACTCATTTATATTCTGCTCAATATTGATTTGTTAACCTGAAAATATTAACACACAATATTAAAAATTTAAAATATAATAGAAATTTGTAAGATTCTAGAACTAAAATAATTAAGGAGCAGGAGTCTTTACCTTGTGATAGAATTGGAGGCCACGACCTATTCTCCCTTCATCGGAAATCCCAGGGAGCAGCGAGCCAGCAACATCGATGGCAACTTCAGGCTTCCGCCAGCGGCCCAGCGAGCAGCATCGTATCAACCGGCGTCTCCTTCCCCAGCTCCCAGGACATCAACGAGCAACACAACAGGAGAAGATCTTTACCATTCAACTTGTAATTAATTGCAAAAATACCCGGTTGTACGGTAAGAACCATACAACCGGGTGTACGGTATAATTTGCCGTAGTGACGTAGTGCATTATTATCTTTACAGGTCTCACTTTCAGTTTATCACCAATCTTTTCTAACTTTTCTTATTTATTTTATCAATCCTTTTAATTACCAAAAATTTTAAAGAG